ATACAAGGAGAGGCGCCCAGGGCCGCAGCGGTTGGAAAAAAGTGTTAAGTCAGACTCAGGACATTCATGGTTTGTAAGATCTAATAAGAAGAATATTAGAACAAAAATATCTTACATTTTATATTGTATCCCTATGATTTACCGTATATATCAAAAGTTTAAAGCTTCGTATACCTATATAACACTTCGTCTACCTATTTAATATTGGGACATTAATATTTTCAACCCCGCTACCACTTCTCATTGATTCATTCACTTGAAAACACACAAATGAGTTTTTAATGCTAAAACGTATACATAACGTATAATTTATAATATGCTGCAATATTAATTAATGAAAAATTTAATGAAGTTTCGATATTAATTATGATGACTTTTGGGACACCAAACGAAAATATTAGTTGCCGAAAACTCTCCCAATGACTCTTGACTTGCTAAGTTTCCCCTAAGGGTTCTGTAGAAATTTGTTGAGCTCCGTTAATACTATAACGTCTACAGGTAGATCGATATTTGGGTTGCATTAAGCTTATTATCCGGTCTTATTTTTTGTCTAAACGAGATAAGGTCTTCCTTGTAGACCTTGTTTGACTATATTGTCGATTTTTGCATTCATTTTAAGAAAGATTTTTTTTTTTGGTCTCGACTGCTATGGCACGTTTTCTTTAGATTCCTCTAACATGTCCTCCACCTGTTTGTTTATTAAGTAAAATCTTCAACCTTGGTTTGTGTAAATACAATTTTGTAATTTTTAAAATGGAGTGGATATCTTCCCTGAATTTTTCCCATTATTGATTCCGTGGTATTTTTATAACGTATTTAAGAAACAAGTAAGTTGATTTATAGTGTCATCAAATTGATTAAATGTATGGCCGTGAAAGGTTGAAGAAAGTATTGAAAATTGGTAACTATTTTCTTCGCCTATCAAAAAATAAATCTGGTTTTAGATGCACTGATAGGAATTTCAACGGAAGGGAAAAAAATTTTATATTTGATTTTTTAATAATTTTTACCGACCGTATTGTGCATAGAATAGGTAGGTTATGTGGTGGCAACAAAATAGCTTATTTCCATTTCTCCATGGTAGGGAAATGTAAATAAGCTATTTTTAGCAACCTATCCGATATTAATATTTAACCGATTCACTTGAAACTTAATATATGTATAAGCTCCGCTCGACCTCCCGCGAAATCTCCTAACTTTTGGAAGAAATCATGTGTCAGCAACTGGACGTTTACTACTTTGCGTATACAAAGAAAACTGGACCAAATATTCATCTTTGCGTATACAAAGAAAAATAATCAATCGATTTCATAGAAATTTAATTATTTAATTCAGAGTGATAAAACGATAAATCTATAAATTTTTTTGGAAAGATCAAGGTTCAGAAATTTATCTGGGGGCCGTTTAACCTTCTTATAATATTTTAATAAGTTGTTGCTTGCACCTAACAAAGATTTTTCAGATAAACATTTTCTTGACGTGTGTTAAAACTTAAAATTACTAACATCGCGTCTGCAATTTTATGAAAATATTTGTTATGAAAATGGAATGTTCTGTGAAATATTTTGAATGTTATTCTTGGGGAAAATGTTTTGTTGAATCAGGAACATTTGTTTGAATATAATTTGTGAAAATATAATTTTTGTTTGATTAACTAACATATTATACATGCATATTTTTTCAAATGTGTGAAGGAAATTGACCAATATATTCAGCTCTACCGATTCTACATATTTTTTATACCCTGCACTTCGTGAAGGGTATATTAACTTTGGTATGGAGTTTGTAACTACTTGAAGGAGTCATCTGAGGTATGGACATATATATATATTCTTGCTCAGCGTAAAATTCTGCGTCGATTTAGACATGTCCGTCCGTCCGTCCGTCCGTCCGTCCGTCCGTCCGTCCGTCCGTCCGTCCGTCCGATCGCACGATAACTCAAAAACGAATAATGCAATCGACACCAAACTTTCACAAGTTGCTTCTTTTGTGCCAAGGACGAACCCTATTGTTATTGGACCAATTCGGACAACGGGTTCGGGTAGCTGCCATACAACTCAAAGAGTTTATTTTAATTATTTCAAAAACTAATAAAGGTACATATATAAAATTTTGTATACATGTGTCCAATTATATTCTACATATGCTCTAAAAATTTTAATGGGATAGCTGCACCGGTTCGGGTGGCTGCCATACAACTCCAGAAGCTAATTTTAAATATTTGGAAAAATAATAAAGTCAGATTCATGTAACTTGGCAGTCATGTGTTCAATTATGGGTCAAATATATTTCTGAAGTTTTGGTGGAATTGCTTGACAGGTTCGAGTAGCTCCCATACAAGTCTAAAAGCTTATTCTTAATATTTGGAAAAATAATAAAGTCAGATTCATGAAACTTGGCAGTTGTGTGTCCGATTATGTATCAGATATATTTGTGAAGTTTTGATCGAATTGCTTGACAGGTTCAGGTACTTGCCATACAACTCCAAAAGCTTATTTTACATATTTGGAAAACTAATAAAGTCAGATTCATGAAACTTGAAAGTTGTGTGTCCGATTATAGATCAGATATATTTGTGAAGTTTTAGTGGAATTGCTTGACAGGTTCGGGTACTTGATATACAACTCCAAAAGCTTATTTTACATATTTGGAAAAATAATAAAGTCGGATTCATGAAACTTGGCAGTTGTATGTCGAGTTATAGGTCACATATATTTCTGAAGTTTTGGTGGAATTGCTTAACAGGTTCGAGTAGATCCCATACAAGTCTAAAAGCTAATTCTTTATATTTGGAAAAATAATAAAGTCAGATACATGAAACTTGCCAGTTTTGTGTCCGATTATAGATCAGATATATTTGTGAAGTTTTGATGGAATTGCTTGGCAGATTCAGGTACTTACCATACAACTCCACAAGATAATTTTAAATATTTGGAAAAATTATAAGGTCAGATTCATGAAACTTGGCAGTCGGATGTCCAATTATAGGTCAGACATGTCCGTGAAGTTTCTATAGAATGATTTCACAGGTTCGAGTAATTGCTACACAATAACGAAAGGTGCAGGGTATAATTCAATCGGTTTATACCGACTGAAACGTTTTTACTTGTTTTAATTTAATATTTAAATTTGATAAATTCGATATATTCGAAATAGTGATATTCGAAATATTGATTAAAATCGGTCGATAAATTCCGTCTGAAAAATGCATTTACAAAAAAATGCAATTTTTAGTACTTGCAATTGATTTCAAGAGTAAATTTTTTGATTAAAAAATTAAATTTAAAAAGAGATTAAAGAAACATAAAGCAAAAAAATAATCTAAATCGCTTTTAAAATCATACCAATCATAATAATAAAATTAGATGTCATAAAGAATAATCAACAATTCCAGAAAAAAAAATATTTCAATTGGAATACTTCGAATACATAAAACATTAAGAATTTTTATTTTACTTATTCCGATTTTAATCAATATTTCGGAAAATAACTTCAGCTTGGTGGCCTGATATATAACATTTTATGGTGCCATAATTATTGGATACTTGATTATGTGAACCATACTTCTTAGCAGACCTCATTTAATTTACGGATGAGAGAATCTGAATTGCAGATGCAAAAAAAAGGTGAAAAATGATTGTTCAGTTTATTGTTCAATTAAATAAATTCAAATGCAAAAAAAGTGAAAACACTTGCTTGATTATTATCAATAGTTCGTTGTCTCCAAAAACTAAAATTCGGTTTACAATATAAGCCTTATGAGCTAAATTAAATAAAGAATACATACATTATGTATACTTATACATATGTGTACCTTTATTTACATAGCTAAATATTCTTATTTTTTCTAATCAATCTATTTTTTTCTAATTAATATAATATTTTAGGTCTCGTAAAGGTAATTACTAATTTAATACTTGGAATATTTCGAAATTTACTACAAATTCACAACACGAAACGTTAAGACAAATAAAAAATAGCAACAAATAAAAAATAGCGTGCATTAAAAACGTCGACGCAAACAATTGTCATAGTGGCGCAGTGAATTTTTAATTAAAATAGAATATGGAAAGTGTAATAAAAAAGTAAAGGTATAAATTCAAAATTAAGTTTTTTGACCTATTTTTCCAAAAAAATTTTCAAAATACGTTTTTGAGATTTTAAACATCTTTATTCAAAATGAAGCATTTTTTCGTCCCAAATGACTTTTCAGAAATATACAGTTTTTTTACTTTATATTAAATTATTTTTCAATAAAGTTGGGTCAAACCAATGGTTTGTATTGTAGCACTTTTCGCTTTCATTTGTAAATGAAACTATTTCTAGGATTGCATATATTTAGGATGAACGATTTATGCAGTCTCTAAAAACTGCTAAATTTTCAGGCTCCTACAACCTGGGGTCTAGAAGAAAAACGACACCAAAAAATTGGAAAAAACGAATTTTAGATAACGGTAAATTTGAACGGTCATTTAGTTTTTTTAAAGTTTAGCTATAGAGTGCCCCGATAGGAAAAGCAAGTCACTGCTTTTCTACGTTTGCAAAATTTGAAAAATGCTAATGGTTTCACTGCAACAAATAGTTAAAAAATGGCATTTTTAGGGTTTTAGGGGCATAATTTTTAGAGGGGGTGAGATAGATAAAAATTTTCTTTTACAGAAATAAGTTTCTGGTAAAGATCTATGTACATATTAAATTTCAACTTTCTATCTTCAAGGGTGTAAAAGTTTGTAAACATGTCCACGGAAGGATGGACAGAGTGAAACTAATAAACACTTATTTCAAAATTTTTTTGGAAAAGTGCTAAAAATAAAAAAGAAATTGTGTATACCTACATCAATCTCACTATGTAGATAAGATAATTTAACATTATTTTGAAAGAATTTACACATTTTGTAAATAGACACTATGCATTAATTCTTTTCTTAAATTTTTCAGATCAGAAATCTCATATAGTTTCAGAAATATTGTGTATATATTGTGTTGACATAAATAGTTACCGATTCCTCCTGTTGCAAAAACTTTTATTCCAAGTTTATTTGCCACAAATAACGTAGCTGCAACGGTTGTACCACCTGAAATACCTTTACTGACAGCGTAAAGCAAATCTCTTGTTGAGCACTTGATGACATTAGTATTATTTTTATCCAGAGCCAATTGTTCTAAATGATGTTTCTCCAGCCCAATCTTAATTCGACCATTTATTACTGCTATAGTAGCCGGGGTTGATCCCTGAAAATTAAATATATTTTCAATATATAACTAGTGGTGTGTGCTTGTATTGCAAGCCTTGCAAGTATTATGCCTGTAGTTTTAAAACTGTGTTCCATTCTGTGGCAGAGATATTTTAAGTTTACTTTATTTTTTCACAAACACACCCGTAATACACATACATGTAGATATGTTTTTTCCTAATAAATAATAAGATAAAACTTAAAATAAGAAAAGTTCTGAAAAGTAATTACCAAAAAATACATAATTAAACCAATAATTATGTTCTTTGAGATCTAATACCTTTTGAATAATTTATTTTGAACCTCGCTTTGAGTTATGTCGCATTAAATCCTAAAATACCTTTTACAATAAGCACTTTTAGCGATAAATTACTGTACATGCATAAAATAATTCGCTACTAAAATACATGCACGTATGTATTTGGAGTTTATAATACATGCGAATAAAACGTGTGACTTCAGAATGAGTTAACACCAATACTAACGTATATAGGGTAATGCATATAGCATATGATTTCTATGCAAAAAGTCCCAAATTCGAACCCTGAAAAATGCGATTTGCCAGATGAACTTTTTTCTATTGATAATTTTATTTTTTTTAAATCAAAATTAAAAAAGCTTCACCCTTACAAATCAATATCAGCGAGTTTCCGTTCTAAATATTTTTTTGAATAACATTTTCTTATAAAATTTTGTCCTAAAAATACATTGTCAAGAAGAGTACACTTATGTTTTGCTTACTAATACATTTTGCAGCAGATCACGAAAAGAAAACATAACTTAATGCGTACGTACATACTTATTATAAAACAATGTAGATTTTATTAAAACTTTACAATTTTCTTAAGAAAGGGATCATTTTTTGTTATAACTCACACTTCCAAATATGAATTTACATACAATATTTATACCACCAAAAGTAAATAAAAAATTACCCCTACAGGATGTAATACTATTTTGTAAAAAACGGTTACAAAGCATCTTAGGAGGGGGTGAAGGGGGAGGCTGGGTGGAATTCTTGCTTTTTTCTGAGACCCTAGAGGTAAAACCGTATCTAATGTCTTTTGTCCCATGTCTCTATCCACACTAGAAGTACCCGTACTTTTTGACACCAGAAAAGTAGCTATATATATATAATGTAAAATAGGATGGTTTTAGAAGAGCTATACGAAATATGAATAAAATATAGAATTATAAAGGCAAATTCAAGGTACTGCGTAGCCTTCTGGGTGGAGTGGTAGTCTGATAACCAGAAGGTTATTTGATCGATGCTTGCCTGGATGTTGTCGTATTTTTCTTTTTTGGATTATTTAAAAAAAAAAAAATTTTTTATTTTGTTTACATTTTTTTAATTTTTTTTTTATATATTATAACAGATAAATATTATTATAAAAGTTTAAAGAAAATATCCAAAAAAATATTGTTATATTAGTTTGGAAAAATTCGCAAAAATTTTAAGAACATACTCGTAAATATGTGCGTATATTTTTGTTAAAGCTTCCTAACTAATTTGTTTTAAGCTTTCTATATGAATTAAATAATATTATGGGGTGACATACAAAAATAAATTTTTCCAATAAAGAAAAGGTTTAGGCAACAACAAAATAATATTTTTATTCAAATATATGTATGTTCATATGAATGTAATTTTTCATATAAAGAAAAGGTTTAGGCAACAACGAAATGATAATTTTATTCAAATATATGTATGTATATATAAATGCATTAGAATTTGGGATTTTAGAGTTTTTCGCTCAAACATATGAACGTATGTATGTACATATTAACAATAAAAATGAAATTTTAAGTACATATACGTACATAAATTGTGTATCTATATGTTTTTAAAGCTTGCTTACGAAACATAATATTCAAAACAATAACAAATGAAGCATTAATATTCAGTTGCCACAAAACACCTGATATCTTTCATAAAACCTGACATTTATTTAAGTTTATTTCGATTTTTCAAATTTAAAATATGTGAGATCATTATATTTTCGAATATTATTTATATCTCGTTCTCGGTTTGTGTTTGTAATAATAAAAAGTATTATTTATTTGTTGGTTTGCGTTTCTAGTAATATAAAGTATAAAAGAAAAATGTGCTTTTGTAATACAAAAATTTTTTCAGAAAATCTTAAAATAGGGCTGTTTCAGGGCTAAAAAGTACCAATGTCAGATTTTTCTGGGACCTTAGAGGCAAAACCCTATCTAATGCCTTTTGTCCCATGTCTCTAGCCCTTTTAGAAGTACCCGTACTTTTTAACACCTGAGAAGTAGCTATATAATATATATATAATACTTATTTTCTCTTCCTTTACACATATTTTTCATTAACATTTTAATTTTCGTATCATTTTCTCTCCCCTTCCTGGTTTAATCCAATAACTTTATAAGGGAAGTAACACACATTTACATATTATACAGTTGTATTATTATAGTTGCTTTTCCAGGTTCAATAATATTATTTTTAAATATAATTGCTTATATTACTGATTGAAGATTATTTGATGTTTTTTTGTATACTCATAAATAGTAAATTTCATTAACAATATTTAGAAATATTTAAAAACATACATTTTATAGACAAAACTATCCTGGTTTTATTATACATATTAGTGAATTATCTATAATAAATATTAAAATCTCTACATAAGCGTATTATGCCCTTTAATTAAAATATTTTGCAAATTTTTGTTGATATTTGAGATTGATCCCTTTTCTGTTTTTCATTTTTGAGCCAAATTCAAATTTTTGTACGAAAGTGAGCACTTCAAATACCCAGGGTATCAACTAGTAAAATCAAGGTTTATTTTCACATAAAATGTTCATATAAAGAGGTACATCCTTAAGCTTATTTCAACGAATTAACATTTTCTATCTTGAAACTTTTTATAAAGTCATGAATTACGTATGGTTTTTTTCCAATTTTGTGAGAAACTATTGGGACAAAAAATGTAAAGAAATAAAAAATGATGAAATTTTGAATTTTGCCAAAGTTCGAATGCTTGAATTTCCCAAAAAACATATAAAACCACAGAAGAGACTACTCTTTGTTTAAAGTCCTTTATGTATTAAATCTTTCTTTTTTTATTTACTCCTTTTAATTATTTCCTTATTTTTCACATTCTTGCAAACTAAGACTAAAATTTAAAATAGAAATACTATATATCCCATATATATCTATCAGGCCATCAAGCTCAGAGAGCAAATCAAAAATAAATTTCAAATTTATATGGAGTTTAAATGGAAGGGTTGTCGGAATTTATTTGTGTGAAGGAAATTGGTCAATATTTTTAGCTCTACTGATTCTACATATTTTTTAAATTTGAAATTTAAATTTCAAAACAATCGGATGTTAAATTCCATCTGAAAAATGCATTAAAAAAAATCCCAATATTTAGCGCAGACAACCTTTCTTGTCTTCCAAATGGGAGGGTACTGAATTACAAAGTAAAATTTTTAAATAAGAAATAGAATTTAAATTGAATTGAAGAAAAAAGCAAAAAAATAATTATTATAATCTAGAGGAAGCTTTTAAAACTATACTAAATAAAATGTAATCATAAGGAATGCTCAAAAATTTCCCAAAAAAAAAAAATATTTCAATCGACATACTTCGAAAACATTAAAGTTTTGTTTTTGTATTTTTGTATAAGAATTGTTTTTGTATTTTTTTCCGATTCAAAATTTCGGAAAATAATTGCTAAAAATAGGAAAAAGTATGAATTAATTACAGTAATACAAATTTTAATATTATTAAGTTGTGGGGTTTGAAACCAAAAGGAAAAAAATATTGAAAATACTATATTTACAAGTTTCATTGATTGAATTGGTTATAATTAAGCAGATACGATAGAATATTTTGTGTAACTATTTAAAATGATTACATTTCAAAAATACTATTAATCAAAATAAATCATATCAAAGAAAATAGTTTGAGGGAAAATCGTAAAATTTTAAAAATATACCAAAATCTAAGACAATATCAGGGAAAGATTCGATTTCAGATCAAAACCAAGAAGAAAATATCTTAATTTTTTGGAAAAAATGTTTATCAATGTCCTCAAGTTCAGTAATATCAGGCAATTTATTAAAAGTTCTTGGAGCCAACATATTATAAAAATGTTCGAAGTAAAAGATCTCGGAATAATAGAGAAATTTGAATTGTTTATTCTAAGATTATATTTTAATATAATCCGCCATTATTTGTTTAAAATTAATATTTTATAAAATGGAAGTATAAATGACGAAGAGACAATATATTAAGGTAACAAAAATAGGAAGCCATAATTACTATCATAATTTACCATAATTATAATAACACATTTTTGAGCAATCAACAGTAGTAGAATGACGTCAAAATACGAACCACCACAACATTTAATTCCAAATTAAAGTTTACAATTGACTTTCAATGAAAAATAATAGCTGGGATGGTAAACCTGTTTGATTGTTCAAGTTTCAAATTTTAACAAATTGTTCAAGTATTTTTTTAGATTAACAGAATAATCTACCTAGCATAACCTACGATCAAAAACTAAGCCCAAATATTTAAACTTTCTTATCGACTCAATATCAAAGCGCGATCGGTCACAAGGCAAAATGTAATTATAGTAGTAAAAATTGTTTTAAAAACTACTTATAATAAGTATTTATTGCAATACGTAAACACATAAGTAAATGGTACTTAAATAGGTAAATGGTATTTAAATACATAATCAAAATTATAATTATTCGTCCAACTCAAAGGCATAAATTTTGTTTTATTACTAATTATTAACTGATTAGTAAAGAAATATTTCCGATCAAGTCTTTTTAAAATCAATAAGTTATGTCGTACTATATAAGAAAATGGTATCACAAGCAAGCGCAATGGGGTTTCTTTTATATTTCTGACTAAGAAAATGGTTTATGAGAACAAGAAATAAAATTAGGCGAAGGACAGAGCCTTGAAGTACGCCAATGCCACCATTTTTCAAATTACTAAATATA